TTTTTGACATTCCCATTTTGACCTTAAAAGAAAATGGAATTTAAAATTTGAGGGATTTCCTAAATCTATTAAAAGTAGTTGGTAATTTTCATAATTTGTTTAAAAGTTTAACGTAAAACATAACTCATGATTGAATGAATAGTCACAAAATTCGTTATACTTTTTATTACTTGTATGATTTTAGAAACGGCAAAGCAAGGTTATTTTTTTTGTTTAAGAAAATTTACTGATGCATGCCATTTCAATTTACTTGAACAGGTGACCATGAATATAAGCTTTCATTACGTTATCAGATTTTAAGATTAAATACATTCAACGTGTTTTGTTTGTGTTGTACTACAAAAATTGGAAGATGTCTCAAAGTGCACCTCTTGTATTACGTTTACTGGCTGCTTCAGTTCCTGCTGCTGCAAGAGCAGGCAAAATTATAAAAGATGTAATGAGCGGAGGTGAACTTGCGATTGTGCAAAAGGTATATATTTATTTAATTAATTGATTTTATTAATACGTAGAGATTTCCTAAAAATAAGAAAAAAATAAAATAAACTGGTCACCATTGAATATTTAAAAAATGTGATATTGAAAAAATACCTATAGCTTGTCCACAGAATACATAAATAAAATTCAATATGTAACCGTCTTAAGAAACTTCTATTGAAAAATAAACTTTTTTAACTAATATAAAATTTAGACAATTTTTTAGAATAAAAGAAATTTGTTTGCAAAACTGTTAATTTCACCTCTTTCTTCGTCGTATTTCCAGAATATATTTAAAGTAAGTATAAATATGAAAAAATTTGTTCAAACTGCACATTGTGGTAGTTATTTCTTATCATTAATAAAATTTATGGAGTTAATACATTGTGTCACCTTAATTTATACTTTTATTTTTATGTTACATTAAAACACATTTCTAAAGATGATGTCAGCAAAACATGTAATTAAGAATTATTCAAATATTTAAATTGAGAACTTCATTAACATTATCATTGAAACATATGAGGTTAATCCTTTTGTAAATATATCACTGATAGCTCAAGAGTACTAAACATTTAATAGCTTGTTAAATAAAAGATATGAGTTAACACAAGTAATATTGTTGGGTGTCGTAGGGTTTAGGAAGGAATGATCTTCAAACTGAAGCAGACCGCTCTGCTCAGCGTTGCATAATTGCTTCTTTATCACAACAATTTCCAGATGTCACTATAATAGGGGAAGAAGGGCCCAGTAATCCTAGTGATGAGGTATTATTATTATCTATTAAAGTATTATTAAGAGACGAGAGAAAAAAAACGAAAAATGTTCTTTTAGGTACCTAGCGATTGGGTTGTAACTGAAAGTGAACAAGATATACTTTGCAAACAATGTCCATCAGAATATATTTCCACAACAGCTGAAGATATAGTAGTTTGGGTGGATCCACTTGATGGAACTTCTGAATATACTCAGGTAAAAATAGAATAATACAGCTGTCGTCATTAGATCTTGTAGTAACATTACAGAAATATTGGAATTGGCAAAAATTTTATAAATATGTATCATAAAGGATGTTGTGAAATGTAAGGGCTTTTTATGAAATTTCTAAAACAATCAAATTTAGTAGTCACTATTTTGCTTATTTTTCTTATTGGACATATAAAATCTGTTAAATTACCAAATAAGTAACAATTTTCCTGCTGATTAATATAGGCGAGATAAAAAATCAGTTGAAAATCACTAAGGCATATTTCTTAAATTTTTAATGGAATACATGATATAATAAATAAACCATTGCAATGATACATGGTTTGATGGGCCATCGATTCGACAGTATACTATATGGATGGAATTTAGAGAGAGGGTAAGGGACCAAGATGTAAAGTGAGATGATACGACCAAAAAATTAATAAAAAATTCATAAGCCAAATTGATATAATCTTTTTATGGAAAATTAACACCCCTCTGGGTTAACCACGAAAACAAAGAATTGGAGTAAAAATAATCTCCTAAAACCATTCAAAATCTTGGAATTAAACAAAGCATTAAACATCACAAGTGAAGAAAATATAATTCTACGCTTTCACCTCTCACACTTACCAAACAATGCCAAGATAAATCTCTTAGAAATAGTAGATAGTATATGGCTTATTAAATCACCGATTCCATCAAATTGGTACGAATATGTAGTTTTACCATTATGATAACCAGGAAAACCCATAGAATATGCCGACATTTCATAAATTTTGTAATATCTGTAATTTGTAAATATCATGCCAAAATAATCATTTCAATATTTTGATTGTTATGTGTTCAACTCAAACAGCGAAGAAACCCTTTCAACCAAATATTCTTTCTATTTTGCCAATATTGATTACATAATAATTGTTTTTCTTAGGATTTATAGTAGTCACTTAATTTGTAGGGTCTTCTAGATCATGTGACTGTACTTATCGGAATAGCTGTTAACGGTAGAGCAGTTGGAGGAGTAATCCATCAACCTTACCACAATTATCAGACCAAGAAAGATGTGCCAGGTCGAACATTATGGGGACTTGTTGGACTAGGAACTGGTGGATTTGAGGTAGTAGATCCCCCTTCTGACAAATTCATTATAACAACGACCAGATCGCATTCGGATGGTATAGTTGTTAAAGCCTTGGAAGCATTAAAACCTGATGAAATTTTGAGAGTCGGTGGAGCTGGACATAAAGTAAGAGAGAGGATATTTAATTAAATATTAATACTCAAGTCATGATGAAATAGTAAAGAGCTTTTAGAGGAGAAGATATTGAGCTATTCTTAAGTAACGTCTTTTAGGTATTACTTCTACTGGAAGGAAGAGCCCATGCATATGTTTTTGCTAGTAAAGGTTGTAAAAAATGGGACACTTGTGCACCTGAGGCAGTACTTGAAGCTCTTGGAGGAACACTTACTGATATTCATGGAAATCATTATAGTTATGCTAAAGATGTGCAGTACCCCGATGCCCAAGGAATCTTCGCTACTGCAAAAGGTGTAGACCACAAGTCTTTGGTATCAAAAATTCCACAAGAACTCCGAGATGCATTTCCAAATTAACTGAATTATTATTATTACTTATTTTATTTTGATAAAATACAATTTAAATTAAAGTTTAATTTAGTTCCCTATTTTGTTTTTTTTTTAATACATTGCACACCTGTTACAGAAAAAAAATAGTAGATAATGGAAAGGTTTTAATTAACTAAGTAATTTTGTAACTCATAATTACATTGTAAAACACATTTTCACTTCTTTTTAATATAATTTTAATTACAATTTATTTTATAAAAGATTCTGTATTTACTGGTTGCAAATATATTTTATAAAAAAGAATTAATAATTCTTTTGATTTTAAAAATTATTGTTTAGCCTTCTTATTAAATACATAAACAAACCAGGGTTCATAGCAGCCTGGAAAACCGTAAATATGGGGAAAAGTCAGAGACTTAATTATTCATAAAAAACGGGGAAGTCGGAGGAATTTTAAAAGTAGTTGTAAAAATCTGGGAATTTAACGTTTGTTACTGGAAATTTTGTGAAAGCAGGCACTGGGTCCCTGAAAGAGATAATTATTTGTGGTTTTCAAACCTTTATTCTTTGGGTATAAAAAAGATTATGGAATACAGTCTGGAAAAAGTTTAATGCATGCCCTTATGGAAATTTTCCTCTGAGAAAGTCTTTATCAGTGTGAAACTCTAAATCTTTTTTTTTGGGCAATTTGGCAGAAACAGAGTTGACAGACTTATAAAAACTCAGTTTTTTAAAGAAAATAAGTTGTTTTCTCTTTATTAGAATTATTTTTGGTTTTCTGCAGATAAAAATGTCCATAAACGTAAATATCATTTACCTATAATTAGTATGTAAAAATGAACTACAAAGTGACCTCGATTTTTTTCAGTCAGGGAAAACCTGGAAGTCAGATAATTCTGTATTACTTTTGAACTATGAACCCTGCAAACAGATTAGAAATACTTGGTTGATTTTCCAACTGATGTGTTTTTCTATAAATTATGTTATCCATGGTGTTAAGATGCTGATAAAAAAAATCTTTAGGGTCATACTTTTTTAGAGCTAAGACCATTTGTATTGTGTAAACCTATCGTCCCTCTTATCACGTAGGGGCGTATAATCCAAGAAATGGATATACACATAATATGCCTATATGTGATAATAGGGACGATAATAAGTAATAAAAATTATAATTCCACTCAAACAAAAAAAATTCATATGTGGGTAAAAAGTTTTTATGTCATATGTTTTTTGTAACTGCATACAGCCATCATGCAAATTTTCAACATAGTTTTTTCATTGAATTGTATTTTAGTGTTAGTATTGTAGTCCAGTTAGTAGAGGTTCGGCCTGTGTCAAACCTTGATAACCCGGAGATAATAATACACAGGCCTACTTTAAATGATGAGTACAATAACAGGTTAATTTGCTGACAAAGTATTTTGTCAGGAAAAAAAGTTATTAACAATTTAATCGTGAAAATTTTTTTTTTAGTTTTCTATAAATAATTCAGCAGGATGACTTTGTACAAAAAAATGTTTAAGACACGATTTGTTCGTAATAAAAATAGCTACGAAATGGCGGTGGTCCGATTACGAAATTTGCAATAATAAAGCCGTGAGAGAAAAAACGGTATAAAATGTCAATTTTTTGCTCAAGTCAACTATAGTTCAATACAGGGTGTAACGTAAAGTTTGGGAATAAATTAAACGGTGGATTTTTTATTTAAAAAAATAAATATTTGTCATATAATAGGCGGAAATACACATGCCTCTTGCTTGCACAATAGCATGCAATTAGCTTGCAGGAGATAGCTCCTGGTATGCGTATTTATTAAAAAGGCATGCCTGTAGAAGGCGCGCAAGTAAATTGCACATCATTTGATTTTTTGGCATGCAATGTGAGGCGGGGGGTTTCGGGGGAGTTCAAGCGGCATGTCGGAACGTGTCTACTTGCTACCTACTGACATTCCAATAAGCCATATACTAACGAGGCATTCCATTTTACTTGCAAATGTATCAGCAGTGTTCCATCCGCCGGCATATGCCATTTCTTAGCATACAAGTTACTTACCTATTTTTCTGGTATGTGTATTTCTGCCTATAAAGTTATGCTCTACGGGTTTTCTTTTCAAAGCTACAGGGCGCTAAAAAATTTCAAATATCATTTTCAATGCAAAAGTTTTTTTCCAATATGCCTATTTGACCATGTGCGGTGGCCGAGTCAAAGCTTACTTCAAAATGTTTTCGTTATTTTTTTCCAATGTTAGCAGTGGGAAAAATTGGTATTTCAAAAGTTTTATTTACAGAAAAATTACAAGAGCTAGAAATAAAACGCAACAGGGTAATTTTGTTTAACATCAAAATTGAATAATAAAAAAATATTAAAAAAATGTTTTTACCAGTGGCGTACCACAATTTTGTTCGAAAAACCTTACGGTACAATCCGTACGCACGCCATTCAGTAATAACTTACAAAGTCAACCTTTTTCCTGTTACTATATGAGATTATCAAATTAACATAATGCTAAAATTTCGTTCCATTATCTAATAATAATAATAATAATGAAACCCGTAGAGCATATAACTTCATATGAAAAAAATTTATTTTTTAAACCAAAAAATCCACCGTTTAATTTATTCAAACCTTTATAATATACAAAAATGACGCTAAAGTAATTATGAACAGTTTATTTCGGACAAAAGCAGAAGAATGGACTTTTACTATAAAAAATAATATTGAGTATAGTAAAAATATGGTAAAATAAAACCCACTCATGTTTGATTTTTTTTTCTTTATAGTATACATACCTAAATTTTTCCGCCAGCCCTGGCATAGAAATCCAAGAACCGTCACTGTATAAACTAAGTTCAGGAAACATATATTAAAAAATATAATTTCATTCAATTACTGCCAGTAACTCAAATAAAATTTAGCTGCTGAGGCGTGACCTGGATACTTATGCCTTAGATAGTTATTAATTTGAACAAACAACACGAGAGACGGCTGAAGGTGGTATTTCCTGTGTTAAATGGCAATTGATATNGTTTTTTTAAAAAATTGTAAAAATTTAAATTGATTTATAACATTTGCAATGCCCTCTGTTGAAAAATCAATGGTGTGAAATATCAAACTTTAATGAAAAAGTAATTGAACAGTTTATTTCGGACAAAAGCAGAAGAATGGACTTTTACTATAAAAAATAATATTGAGTGTAGTAAAAATATGGTAAAATAAAACCCACTCATGTTTGATTTTTTTTTCTTTATAGTATACATATCTAAATTTTTCCGCCAGCCCTGGCATAGAAATCCAAGAACCGTCACTGTATAAACTAAGTTCAGGAAACATATATTAAAAAATATAATTTCATTCAATTACTGCCAGTAACTCAAATAAAATTTAGCTGCTGAGGTGTGACCTGGATACTTATGCCTGAGATAGTTATTAATTTGAACAAACAACACGAGAGACGGCTGAAGGTGGTATTTCCTGTGTTAAATGGCAATTGATATAATAAGGCTAAAGGTAGTAATCTGAGCACCCGAAGTGAATTTTTTTGTAAACTCTATTATGAATTTATTCGATGTACAATCAACCAGTTGTTGTTTTCAGGTATCTAAGGCATTTGGGAATTTAAAAGAGATAGACAGAATAATTTCAAATAACGCTTATTAGCTTTTATCCAAAAATTATCCAAATGAGAAACAAAAAGATATAATAATGAAAAATCAATTTTCAACTTCATCTTATGTTCCTACTGAAGTTAACGAAAGATCTTGTGATTTAATTGATATCTTATTGTCATTTAATGCAGTTTAATTAGTATGTTAATATTAATATAATTTTACATAAATATTGCCCTTTTCTTTAAAGCGCTGAAATTTCATTTTCCTTTGTGCATCTAACAAATTTTGAGCAAACGTAGAGAAAAAATGTATGAGATCTCAGTCAAGTCTCTGCAACATGATTTTAGCAGCTCTGTGAAGCATACCTATGCTTATTATAGGGGTTACGCTGAGAAAAAATGGCTTGTAACAAAATCATTTAATTTACCTATATCTTAATTAGCAAACATTTCTTTCTGCCATGCATCATTTTGTATTATTAAATAGTAAATTATCTTTCTATGGCTATGTATATAGATTGATAGCTATCTACAACATGAAATATCTACCGCAGTATAAACAAATCTACTCATACACATATTGTTTAAGTAAGTAGGTAGGTACTACAATTTTGACGATCTTTGGCAGTTTTTCAATCTTTCCTTCAATACCCTTCTTAATATTTTTCCACTGGGATTTTTTGGAATTTCTGAAACAAAAATTACTCCCCCTCTCAGCCTTTTTTGAGGTGAAACCATATCTACGAAAAAAATAATTTATTAGATTACATATTTTATAAAAACTGTTTACACTGTGTAAATCACATTTAAATCAATTAATTATCAAGTGCAAATATTAAATTATTTTATTTCTTTAGAATTTCGTGTAGAATCCGCATCTATTTCGACCACTATAAGCTACCATTAAAAGCATTTGTAACAGCAATTATTATTCTAAATGAAGATTTACCGTTGCTAGTAAAAAATTATATTTTCTACATTGTCTTTTCCTAAACCCAAAATCAAATTGAATTTTTCATAGGTAGGTATAGGTATAAGTATTATTAGAGTTGTGCGAACGAATATCATTTGGAATCGGTAGGAACTACTCGTAATATATTGAAAACCTATGTTTATTTAAGGTGATAAAGAAAATGTTAACAAAATTAAAAGTAGAGTCCTTCAAAAAATTTAAAAAAATGTTTGGATGAACATACTTCGGAAACGCTTCTCTCATGTGTTTATGTGTATGTGTTCAAGTGTTCAAGCTTTTGTAAAAAAATATTTTTGTTTATATCTTCCAAACCGTTTGAACAAATCAAATCTAATTTGCTATAGGATATTATCTACTAAGTTTGCTTGGTCTGAATATGCCGGTGATAAATATGAGATAATTCAGGGATTGAAGTTCAGGAACACCGTTATCTTTTTTTATTGCCCTCTTTTGAAACTCTTTTTATGTATAATAACAAAAACAAAATTTGAACTGATTTGGGCAATCTGTTTGGAAGCTATAAACAGAAATAGATTTGTCGAAAACTTAAACACCCGGTATCTCGAAGACGCCAATAATTTCAAAGTTTTATTCTACTATCTGCCTATTCTAGGTAAATTTAGTTTAAATTTAGATTTGTATTAATAAGGTTTAGGTCCAAAATTTCTACTTACTAAAACTTTTTTTTGGTTTACAAGTCTTCGGAAAAGTTTATACACTTTTCTCCAAAGGAAAAGGGCTTGATTTAATAGTTTCTCTAATAGTCGTATTCACCAATTAGGCCAGGAAATATAGAGTTGGACGCGACTTTTTGTTTCGGCAAGCTGAATTTATCAGTATAGATGCTAAATATTCTGTACAATAACACAGTCATAAAAATGGGGGGAATATTGTTTAAAGGGTAGTTAATTGCATAATTTTTACGTAAATTCACGTTTTTCGCTTAAAACTTTTTTCCGTTCATTACCACGAGAAAACAGTAAAGTACTTTTTTCCGTCTTCAAAAGACCTACAAAACTAGCCCTCGAGCGTCAAAAAATATTGATTAGATCAGTTATAAACAGAAGAATTTTATTTATGACTCTTGAATTAAACATTTATAAACTGCGTTAATATTACCAGAACGTTTTGGCATCGCATCCTCTCATTCCTTATCACTGTCTAATAACTCGTACGAAATCTGGAATTGGTAAGTTGAATAGTTTACAAATTATGCCCTTATAAACAAATTAACTAATTATTAGCCTGGACGATCCCGAGCATCTTCCACAATTGCACTGTTTTTCTTCATGGTAGATTTCATAATAATACGTAGAAATCTATCATTTTTTTAATTTTCAAATTTGCAACCTGGAATTTGTTTTATTTTTTAGCCTTAGTTGCAAAATGAAATATATATGACGCACGAGCGTGATAAAGTTATATATTATTACATACTCGGAAAGCTTATGAAAAGAGCTTTAAGTTAAAAAAAAAATCGTCAAGATTCGTTGAAAAACAACAGAGTTACAGACTGTCAAAGTTGACGGCCTATTGTTAAACAAATTAAATTGGTAGCGGCAAAAAAATTATATATTTAGCATCTTCAGCTTGTCGAAACAAAAAGTCACGAAATGGCCATTTCCCAGCTTATTTTCCTGGCCTACAATGTTGCTGTTAGGGGATTAATTTATAACAAACTATTTATATAGGTACCTTTGTATATTCTAAATTTAAACTTAACTTGTTCACTACTCAGTATCCCGATGTTTGAAAAACGCATAAAATTTCTCTATTTCTCACGACTGGAGATACCTCTTGTGCGAACATTTATAACTAATATCTGTCCTCAATAACTTTGATAATCTTTTTGAGGTAATACTGTGCAGTCATGCATATATTGAGATGTATGGAAATCGCCGCACACTCAGTAGAATAAGTGGGTACTTGTTTAGGAATGCCTAAAGCTTGGCAAATTGTAATAATAATTATATGAATTGAAAATAAAATTGAGAGAATGAAGGAATAGATTCAGCAGTGACAGACGCCAAAGTACAATGTTCATTGTATATTGCCTACATGAAAGGTGTTCAATTCAAAGGGGAAGAACTTTCACAATAAATTAAAAATTAACATATGAAATCAAAGTATTTAAAGTAAAGAGGAATTAAAGATAATATTAAAAAAAATTAACACAGTAGTACAGCGAAAGCAACCCTTAAGTAAAAACACTTAAGGGTCGCTGTACAGCAAAAATAAAACGCTCTCTCAACGGTACAAATAAACTATTTTTATTGAAAACTAAGCCTGTGAAAAAGACGTGTTGTCGGTTCGACTGTTTGCTGGAGAGTCCCGGTGTGTGGAGTCGGTCGTAGGCATATGAGTAAGCATCTGATCGCCGGCGCCAGTCCACCGTAGACCCTTCCTCGAACGCTGGTGCGTCCGGCGGCGTCCGGCTGGCGCTCTTGACGTAATGCTTAAAAATGGGTCACTTGCGAACATGTGTACCCACAACACAAATAATTCACACATGCATTAGAGAACATTAATAACTGGTTATCCAAAAAATAAGAACGATTATTTGTCTGTAAAATCACTAGACATATATGGTATCGAACATATTAGTTTTCATCATTATGATATAGCTGAGAAATCGATATATATATTTGGTGCTTCCCCTGATGATCTTAGCTGTTTACTAAATATTGTTAATGCAATTCAATGCTAGTCGGTGTATTAGTTTTTCATACATCATTATTTATTTTTTGCTGTAATGTCGGCCTAAGATTATATCTACAAATAGTATGTGACAAAGTAAGTCAAAAAGTTAGAATATTGTTATAAATCATGATACAAAGACTGCAGTACGAAATGAAAAGAAGGCTTTTCTTCGTCATAAGTTTTCGGTTGATCCAAAGGGGTTTTGGCGCACTTTGAGGTATTTAAATATAAATTCTGTTCCTTATGTTTACCCAGGCGATATTAGTAGTCCATCAGCTTTTAATAAGTATTTTGTTAATAGCATACCTTCTTTAAGTTCAAATAACAATAATTTTATTACTGACACATATTCTAATAAAATTTTTTCAAATATTAGCCATAAGTTTCAATTCACATTAGTGACTGAAGAATGTATCGAAAAAATATTATCGCAAATTAAATCTAACTCTACTGGCACAGATGGCATAAATCTCAAGATGATCTTATTAGTACATCTTTTCTTATTAGTTATATCACACATATCGTGAACAGCTGCCTTGTATCAGCTAAATTTCCATCTTTTTGGAAAAATGCTAATATTATACCCATACCTAAAGTAAATAATCCCTCTCAAACAAATCAGTTTCGTCCAATTAGTATTTTGACTACTATATCAAAGATACTGGAAAAGGTTGTGTATGCACAATTAAGTGAATTTTTTCTTAGTAATAAGGTTATTCCTCCTACGCAATCGGGTTTTCGTTCTTTACACAGTACATCAACAGCTATGTAACATGTTACGGATGATATATTTCGTACATCAGACAATAAATTAAATACATGTTTGATACTGTTGGATTATAGTAAGGCTTTCGATACCTTAAATCATAGAATTCTTCACTTAAATACTTCGGATTAGATGAGAACGCGTTAAATTTTATGTCCAGTTACCTAGAAGGTCGCAAACAGAGAGTCGGTTTCGGTAATTCTTTTTCAGATTATGTTATGTTAAATAGAGGTGTGCCTCAAGGAAGTATTTTGGGGCCTCTGCTTTTTGCTTTCTATACTGCTGATTTTTCTAAATTTTTTTCAATTTGTAATTCACATAAGTACGCATATGATATGAAAATGTATTATTCTTTTTCTTTAACAAACTCACATGTGGCTGTAAATAATATTAATGAAAATTTAAATAAAATTGCAGAGTACCTAATCGTACCTAATTGCAAGTATCAGAATGTCATGGTGAAATGAAACAAAATCCCAGCTAATAATATTTGGTAGTTAGGAACTGCATAACAATAATAATTTCAAAATCAAAATAAATGGAGTTGACCTAATTTCCACATGTGCAAAAAATCTGGGTGTATATGTCGATTCTCGTCTAAGGTATGACACACATGTGGCACATTTATTACAGAAGTGTTATTATAAACTCAAAATGTTCTACATGCATAAAGATTATCTATCAGTTGAAATTAAACTTAAACTGACTGACACATTAATTCTCTCAACTAGAACATACTGCGATATTCTATACTGGCCAGCACTTACTGTTAAAGACAAAAACAGCCTCCAGAAAATACAAAATGCTTGTCTAAAATTCTGTTATGGTGTTCGAAAGTATGATCATGTTACACCACTTTTTGATTCTTCTAATTGGTTAAAATTGGAGGAGAGATTTATTGTACATTTGGTACATTCGTGGTGCAAGCACACATCATAGAATTACTCGTCACTGTAATAAATTTATCATGCCAAGACACTGTTCTGCAATATTTCAACGCTCTTTTAGTTACAGTGCTGTAAAGCTTTACAATTCTTTACCTGTAAATGTTACCTCTTGCTCTACTGCTACTGTGACTAGTTTTAAAACAGCAATTAAGAAACACATTGTTAGCCTTAAAACATAGTAGTGTTATTTACTCTGTATATATATTTATGTATTATTTTTGTAAAACGGTCGGTTAGAATGAGTAGCTCTGCTAGATCTCGCCGCCATTTATACGAATATGTTCCATATTTTGTTTTTATATGAAAATAAAGGCATATTATTATTAAAATATGATATTGCGGATAACCACAGCCATGTTATGACATCAGTTGGAGATGTAGTGGAGCGTACACGCCAATTTGTGGATATATGCACGTGATGCGCTTGTTCCTGTGACTGTGTAGTCTCCATGCCTGTGACTTTCGATTTCGTTAATTCGCCAGTTCATTCTCCAGCTGACGTCATGCGCCGTCAAGCGAACCGATTTTGGTTCACAGGAATACCATATCTTGTATTCTTTGTATTATGGTTATAAATTAAGTAATCTATACGGCGTGGCACAAGTAGGACCAGTGGCGTATGGTCGGGGGGGGATAAGGGGGATATATCCCCCCCCATGAACTTAGGTTTATATGCAGGTGATAGCCAAGACGCATAGATTTTATTTTGTAATGTTTGAAATTAATATAAAATAACCTTATTCATTAATATATTTTTTATTATATCCCCCCCCAAGGGTCAAAGCAGCGTACGCCACTGAGTAGGACAGAAAGCTGTTAGTATTAAAAAATAGCAACACCTGTGAATATGGTTAGCAAAACAGTTCCCCTCCACTCATAATCAGGTTAATAGTTATTATTAACACCACGCCAATTATTAACAAAAAAATTATCAAAATAAATATTTCCAAAACATGTATCTCTGGCAGTTACTTTACACCGTTCTACGAAGTTTCTATCTCCTTACATTTCTTAAAACAACTTAAGTCGGATTCATTACTTGTTACTTACCGCTAATATATTCCTGCAATTCACTTTCTGTGACGTTTTGTCCTTCGTTCTTTACTACGAAAGCCAATGGTAGTTCTCCTCCTAGTTCATCTGGAAGTCCGACTACTCCTACGTCTCGAACCTTTGGATGATTTAGTAAAAGTGCTTCCAATTCAGCTGGAGCTACCTGAATATAAATAGAATTTGTCATGATGTACCTACTCGTATACAATATGTATTTCAGTAGTAATATAAAACTACAAATTTTGTAACAATATACCTACTCTTACGTTTAGACTGTATGTGAACGGTATAACTGGGTTTAAAATAAAGATTCAGTAACTGTTTTTGTTTTAAATTAAACCAACAGGTTTGTTTTTGGATTTCTATTGAAGTAAAGTAGATTTCACGCTGCGGTAAGTGTTAACCAGTAAAGTGTGTAAAGTGCCTTCGACTGTACCACATGATCGATCAATTATTTAGTCGATGAGATCTTGAATTAGGACTTTGGTGGTCGGGTCACACTTTCATGATTTGTTAAACCCTAAAGATAATAAAATAACATATCTACTTTAGAATTTAAATATAAATTTAAACGCGTCAGTTTGGATCTGAACACAAAGTGAACGTGTAAACAATATGTTGTTGAAAGGGACCATTTGAGATTAACGAATGAAAGTATAGGTCTACTTTTTGCTCATCGGAGATGAAATATTATAGATGTCTACTAAGCAAAATAAAATTGCACCAACAACTTACAAATAAACCAAAGTTGTAATGGCCTCCCAACAACTTTGCAAGGAATCGTTAGGTAATTTAGCAAGTTTGTTGTAAACTTGTCGATAATCTCGGTACAACTTTTTACAAAGCTGTTAAGACTTTACTAAAAACTTTCTTAACAATGTTCAGTTATGTACACTTTGCTGCAAAATTAATTACGGTATTAATAGGAACTTTTAAATATTACTATTGGCTTGTTTGGTAATGTTATAATTGTAATTTTGCTAAGAATCATTTTAGCAATAACAACACGGCAAAGACCGAGTGTCGTAAAACTTGAAATTGAACTTCAGTCTAACTTTTTCCTGTTAAGTTTTATAACAGTTAGTCTATGCCATTATAATATTCCTAAAATGATTTATAATAAAATCATAACCAAAAACACATGAAACGGGCAAAAAGAAATATTTCAAAGTTAGGTAGACTCCACCATTTTGGTTCTGAGGCAGTCCAGTTTTTTAATATGAAAATGATGAAAACAGGGTAACTATACAGGAAGTCCCAGAATATCGCGTACAACGGAAGACCACAGATTCGGATTCTATGGTCTGTGGTTAAATCAAGAAATATTGTACGTCAGCTAAGTTTTTCTGTTTATATCTTCATGCGACAACTTCTTTAAAATGAATTACAAATCCTTGATATTTATTGTGAAGGATATCATTAACAGATTTAGTCGCGGTAACCATTAGTGACGGCTCTTAAAAGGAGAGTTACACTAAAGCGGGTAGATAAACAATAATAAAATAATTAAAAATTCTCTCCACCCATTAAACTTTCTTTCTGATATAATTATGTTAATTATATTATTATGTTATATTATATTAATTATTATAATTATGTTATGAACATTATGGACACTACAGACGAAAAATTACAACATATAAAATTAAGGGAATAAGAATGTACAAGGAAAAATTGTTTTTAGAATAATATACATTTGGAAAGGTTCTAAGTGAGATAGTATCAGGAAATTGACAGTACTAAAGAATATTAAGAGAATAGTAATTACAGGTTACCCGTCTTCTATTTTAGAATGGACTGAATAGGGTTGTTGGCCAAATTTCAAAAAGTAGATAATATAATTCTACAATTTCTACACGTACTAACTAATGTGTATGCACAATTAGAGATTGAGAAATGCGTCAGAACAGTTTTAAAATAATTTTTTAAAACTGATTTTTTATTATATTTCAAAACGGCTGTGACGTCATAAGAGGCACCTTGTAGTGAAATTATGTGTAAATGATTGCGTAAAGGAAAAATATTGCAAGAAAAAGACGCTCGGTCAACACTGTCAGTAGTGTCAGTCTGTCAGTGACACTGTCGCATAAAATATTTTCAAGTCTACGAGTTATTTTCCTTAATCTTAGAATTCCTTTATTAAGTAAAATTATTATTTAGTAATAATCATTTAATATTTTCCCTTAGAATTAAAGCAGACTGTGTGAAACGGGATTTGTGAAAGCTACTTCGCAAATTTTACCGAAAATTGATATTTTGATGATCATGAATTGAATTTTTAAAAAGAGACGACCGTTTTACTATTGGCGAAATCAGAGGTATAAAAGCAGTCAGGTAAGGATCAACATATTTAATGAATGATTTTATTGTGTTTATAATATAAACAAAATAAATAAAAAATAATATATATAGGTATTTTATACAGTGGCGTACCTTGGAGGTGCGGTGGGTGCGGTCCGCACCGGGCGGCACATATTTTGGTGCAGCATTTTTTATATTTAGTTTTATTTGTAAAAAACAACTTGTTCACTATTCGATTCCTACGAATTATGAATTAGGTACTATATGATTTCGCAATTTTTTTCTTATCGTCAAGTAAATGTAGGGTTGAAAATATTATCTCAAAAAATTTTACTCGGATACTGACATCAATGGTGCTGACGTTGAGTAGAAGTTATACAGGGTCGGAAAGTCCCCATGGTTCGTCGGCCATTACGAGAGTGTGATAACGAAAGTCATAGAAATCTGTGCGATAGAGAAAGATGGCTATAATGAAGGCGTCTAATAGTCACCGCCCATTTCGCCCTTCCACAAATAAGATCCATTTCTTATTTGTGGAAGGGCGAAATGGGCGGTGACTATTAGACACCTTCAATATAGCCATCTTTCTCTATCGCACGGATTTCTATGACTTACTTTATCGCTCTCGCGTAACGGCAGATCAACCATGGGGACTTTCCTACCCTGTATGTACTACTCCGTGCTCGACGTTTATTGAATCCTTAGTACCACCGTTACCAATTTCGTTCCACAATGAGTCACTTAAGACTAAAATCTTGCAATATTGTCCATAGAACAAGAGATTACAAATAATAGAAATTTCGAGAGCATTATACACTATTTTTCTACTATGAATGTCAGAAGAGTAAATATTTAAATATGTTTACATTCACATATGTGTACAATTTGTTTGTTTATCTAAAAGAAATGAAATTATTTATTTACAAATATAAAATAAAAATATTTAATGGTATTTTTTTTTGTGAATTAGGTATATGTTTTGTCTCATAGATGGGGAACCTGCGACCTCCGTAAGTTTCTTGTGGCCTTTACAAAAGTATCTTGTAATTTTATAAAAGTTTTATATGTATATTAATCCAATAAAGATCTCATATTATAAAAAAAATTCCAAATAGAATGATTTTTTCAAGGTTGCTGCCTCCTGAGTATCCAAATTTCGTAAAAATTTTTTTATAGCAAAATGACCTTAATAAAAGTTGTAGAGGATCAAATTCTGGACAACTTTTCCTTATAATTTTTTTGTATGTCTAATGCTTAACGAATTACAGCGCATTATGTAAAAAAATTGTGGTCTTGTAAACATGTTTTTACAAAAAAAAATCACCTTCATAAAAGTTGTAGAGGATCAAATTCTGAACAACAATGATGACCTTGAAAATATTTTAGCTTGGTAAGCCCCATGGTCCGTATCACACCATCAAAATTTCAAAAAAATCCTTCGAGCAGTTTCCCAGATCGATGGAGTTCGTGGTGGGACACCCTGTATTGATCATTCAGAACAAGCAAAATTTTTTATCAAAAATGATGCATGAACAAATTTCAATGGAGAATATTTAAAAACCTAAAATAAAATGATTTTGCTTGACAAATTATTATTAATAATATGCTACTTTATAGTTTCTTTTGCATTAAGGTCACTTTGCTCTAAAAAAAAATGTTTAGGAAATCACCCCGAAAGCGCAAGTCGTACCAGTAGTTCGAGTGTGATCTTTTGGTTGGATACTCAAGAGGCAGTCTCCAAGCAACCCTGAAAAAAAAAATCATCCTGTTTGGATTTTTTTTGCGGCCCCTATAAGCCGAGCACAACTTTATTGGATTATATCAACTTATGCGGCCTCCTTTATTACTACCTAATTTAAATATGGCATCCAATGGAAAAAAGTTCCCCACCTATAGTTTGTCTCAATTACAATTATTTATTTATGTTTATTAATTTATAAAAACCACCATTTGATTGACTTAGAAAGGGCGGCAAATTGGAGACCGCCCCGAGCGGCAAAAGTTCTAGGTACGCCACTGATTTTATATCATAAAATACGTACCTATTTATTTATGGAAAATTATAGTGCAGTTCGGGAGTCTTATGGAGGTAATGCAATTGGCTATGTGGAATGTGGAATGTGGAACAAAACACCACTTATTTTGTGCAAGAAGAGCGCTAGAAGAAAGGGCCCTAGCCGGCGGGGCCCAGCCAGGACAAAAAGAGGTCCCACAAAGCGCCTACATCGGCCGCATTTGCGGTCGGGGTAGACGACGGATGGGGCCCACCTACGAAGGCTGTCCAGGCCTACACGAGATGAGGCAGGATAAAGAATGATAATCCCCCTCGATCCCAAATCACTGAGGCCAATTTCTAGCCATGCAATAATGGCGCACTTATTTTGTTGCATGCATTACAATCAGGAAATTAATAATAACTATCACACATACTCTTAATTGATAGACTGCTGTCACTAATGTCACTTTTGTTTAAAAAACAGGAAATAGGGCAACAGGGTTTGACGGACAATTTTGACATATTTTCTTCTTCAAAATTATGCAATAGGATCGCTACTAGCTTCTTGTTCAATTGCCCCTTATGACGTCAGACTAGTTTATAAGTAACATAAAAATTCATAAATAATTTCTACCACTAATTTGTTATATATTTCAAAATTTTACTATACAGGCAGGTTCTTTTATATAAAATCTTTGTATCACCAACAATTTGTATATGGTTTTTATAGTCAACAACCCTATTGGAAATTTCAATTTCTTCTATAGAGATATTAATTAATATGTGATATATTACCTGATATCCTTTATATTTAATTAATTCTTTAAGTCTGTCTACTATATAAAAATTTCCTTCTTCATCGTAGTATCCTAAATCGCCAGTTTTTAACCAACCATCAGAAGTGAAAGCCTCTCTCGTTGCTTTTTCGTCATTATAATATCCCATCATGATCAGCGGCCCTTTGCAGCACAGTTCGCCTGTTTGATTGGGCCCCAGGCTCTTTCCAGTTTCTGGATCTCTCACTTTGCATATCATAAACGTCCCAACCTTACCACATGATCCTGGTATTTGGTTCTCCTTATCAGCTATTGTAACCGCGAATGTTGCCTCTGTTAGTCCATAGATTTGGCGGAATGATTTTAAGTTTTTGAATCTGAAATTAGTATATACCTACTATGTATGTATAGTATAAGCATAAACAAGGGTATAAGTAATTAGGTGCTTGTAGTCATAAAAATTTGTAAAATAAACCCTTGCGCCAAATGGATCAGTCAAGGATTATTTTTATGAAAACAGTTTTGCCCAATAAAAAATCTCACACTGAAAAATGCGGACAAATAGAAAATACAAAAATACATCACTTAATATCGTGTACTTCGAAACGAAAGGTAGGACAAAGAGGGATAATCCCAAATTATCGCGGCCAAGTTTAACGCCAAAAATAACGGCGCTTTAACGTGACGAAAATCCACTGTTTTCGTATTATAAACTTTTTTAATTTTTCGTTTTAATAGCATTGACAATTTAAATTTGTTTTCACAAGTATTTATTTTACTATTTTTTTAAATTTTTTCACAGGTGGAAAAATACCCAAAAAATATAAAAACGAAAAGATTAGGCCAATCCCAAATAGGACACTTTATCCTTATGATATTTGTTAATGTCCTATTTATGACGTATATCGCAAGACACTGACCGTTTATCTTCAGTTCATATTATTTTGTATATAGGGGTTATTTTATTTTGCAATATACGGAAGATATCAGTTACTGAGCAATGAGCATGCGTTCACCACTATGAACGAACACAGTAGTGCCGCCATGTTGGTCTGTCCAACCGTTGTTTTTGTTTTATGATGTCATTACCTATACATTTTTATTTACACACTTTGCACTGCACATAATTTTAAAGTTATGTTTTGTTTTTCTTTTAAACATATTTTTATCATTTAACTTAGTCCTCACATTTGAATAAATGAAATTGATAGGAAATTACTTAATTACATGTCACATCATAAACTGTAGTCGTACTGTTTTAAGGTTAATAATTTTTGATAATTCATAATGAAAATCAAGTACCTAATACAATTTCCACTTTATGGTTTACGAACATTTTGATACTGTGATTATTTAAAGCAAACCAATAAAATATGTCTTTATAAACATGCATCAATACTAAATGTAAAATGTATTTCTTTACTTTTTCTTCTTTCCTTCTTAAAAATTTGTAACTCAATGAAAAAATGAAAACATGTAACCTGAATATCCATTCCTTCCAGAACATTAAAAAATCCGATATAGTCCAAACCGTATGTTCCTGGGACATACGGTGGGATATCCGGAGGATTTATAACATAAGACATCCCTCGGTTGTCCTAACCTAACCATAATACCTGCCACAATATTTGGACAGCATTAGAATATGCTGAGGATAGCATATAATTCCAAATATGAAGCTGCGACATACGGTGGGATATCCAGAGGATATCCTGATTTGTAATATAAGATATCCCTTGAACGTCCTATGATATATCCCACCAGGTATCCTGGTTAGTTAGTGAGCGGCATATTTACAAGGTGGTAACGACAGGAGAAGGCGAGGACTGGTTTCGCCGGCTGTCTCAAGTAAGAGGTGTCTCATAAGAGAGGAAGGTTATCCCTGTACCCACCCATATCCGACGGAAACGGAGCCAGGACTAGAAAGATGCTCGAGTGCTTGCTCCAGGGCACGAACATAAAGGGCACCATTTATGTGAAGGGTATGCCCAGATACAAGCACGGGGGGAAACCCCCAAGTAACGTGGTTAAAAGAGACAGGGACACGAAAGCTATCCTGGTAGAGAGGGGTGGAAATTCATATGCTGACCACCTCAGGAGAGTGAAAGATAGCGTAAGTGTGAGCTCAGTGGCGGCGAGAGGTATAAAAACCATAAGGGAGGGAAGAAATGGCCAGATGGTCATTGTCATAGACAAAAGCGACAGGGAAGGCAGAGAAGAACTGCAAAAGCAACTGGCGGATGCAAAAATTAATGCCAATAGGNTGTGAGCTCAGTGGCGGCGAGAGGTATAAAAACCATAAGGGAGGGAAGAAATGGCCAGATGGTCATTGTCATAGACAAAAACGACAGGGAAGGCAGAGAAGAACTGCAAAAGCAACTGGCGGACGCAAAAATTATTACCAATATGAGAGGGAGGTCTAAAGTCATTGTCATTAAAGACATAGATGGCGTCACTTCTAAGGAGGAGGTATTGAATGCAGTTTTTAAAGAAACGGGCTTGGAACCCGAAGATTGCACCTTGGAGAGCTGAGGCCCTACTTCGGGGGCAATAGGGCCATGACTCTCAGGGTGGAGGCTTCTAAAGCGAAGAACTTAATTGAAACAGGAAAAATCAGGATTGGCCTGAACCAGTGTTCGGTGACAGAGAGGATTCAGGTCATACAATGTTTTAACTGTTGGAGATTTTGCCACACCAAAGTTGAATGTAAGGAGTCGGGAGAAAAATCCAATTTGTGCAGAAACTGCGCCGGGGAGGGACACAAGGGGGAAAAATGCGATCGTAGGCCTATGTGCCTTAGCTGCAATGAGGCTGGACAGGACAGGGTCAGGCAAGTGTACAGAGTTTAGGAAAGTGCTTAACAAAGCAAGACTTTCAAGCAAGAGGAAGAAAGCGTCTTAGGTCTTTTTGTTTGTCTATTCGGTGTTTTTCTTCGTGACTTTATCGATTTATCTATTTATTTATTCTTTAATTCGTTGTTGTCTAGTTTCTAAGTTAATTGCTCTTTGCCATGACGAATCCTATTGTATTGGGCTTGAGGGTCCTCCAAACGAACCTGGGAAGGAAGAGAGTATCTCACGACCTGGCCATTGCTACGGCGCAAAAAATCGACGCCGACATTTTGGTTGTCGGTGAACCTAATCTAGCGATTACGGATAAAGCAGGGTGGCTGCGCGATACACGAAAAAACGTAGCAGTGTACTTTATTAACAATAGGATCAGGGTAATGAAAGTATATAAGAGGAATAACTATATCTGCTTGAATATGGCAGGATACAGACTTTTTTGCTGCTATTTCTCACCAAACCTTAGCTTGGAAACCTACATCCAGGAAGTAGACCCCATGATGCAGGATTGCCTGTCCTGCGGAGGGGAATATTTCGTGTTGGGTGATTTAAACGCTAAATCTTACTTGTGGAGCTCCCCTGTAAATGATGCTAGAGGAGACTACATTGGAGATTGGATTTCAACGTTAAACTTAACGGTGTTAAACACTGGTTTCGCCCCGACTTTTGTCAGGGGGGCCTCAAAATCTTTTATCGATGTTTCACTTGCAACCCAGCAGTTGTCAGCAAGAGTCAGAGATTGGAGAGTGATGGAGGAGGACTCCCTCACCGAACATAAGTACATTACCTTTGACCTGGACGGAAGAAGAACCCCAAAGGCTTTGTTCGTTAAGCACAGAATGGATCCAGAGAGATTTCGTACGTGCTTTCGCACTCAATTGGACGCGTTAGGGGCCAACAAGACATCAGCTATGGATTATAACAGGATAGCCGGTAGGGCGTACCGAGGGTCTCTATCGTCACCCGCCGTGAGAGATCAAGGGAAGGCTCTGGAGACCAATTTGTGGGGTGACGCATATAAACTGGTAATGAAAAAAGTAGGGTGGACTCCCTATAAGCTGGCTCTCGAGACAAAGTCTCAGATCATCGGGGAGCTGTTCCCACGCGGCCCTCCACATGGACATATACGATTGGAAAACATCGGGAACGAAATTGTTACACCCTTCACGCTTGATGAAATCAGGTCAGCAGTGCTTAAATTAAAAAAAGGTACTGCACCTGGCCCAGATGGCATTCCAACCGAGGCCCTTTTGGAGATCGCCAGGATGGCCGAGCCATGGGTGCTGTCAATACTCAACGGAGTCCTGGAGTGCCAAATGTTCCCGGCTAAATGGAAACTCAGCAAATTGGTCCTCATTCCTAAAGGGCAGGGAACGGATAAATACAGACCCATATGCCTGCTCGATTCCATTGAGAAGCTGTATGAGAATTTGATAAAATCCAGGATAGAGGCGGACATAGAAACTAGAGGCGGGTTGTCTGACAGGCAGTATGGGTTCCGGAAAGGGAGATCCACCGAAGATGCCATAAAGTTGTTCCGTGATGCATTCCCGAGAAACGTAGTGGGGCGCGCTTATCACCCTGGACGTAAAAAATGCTTTCAACTCCCTCCCCTGGGACGTGATCATGGGCGAACTAACGAAACGCAAGGTCAAATGGTATCTGAGGAACATTGTCGCGGACTATCTCCAGGATAGAGCTCTCGAGATTGAAAAGGGTGACACAGTACCGGTGATGGCGGGTGTTCCGCAGGGTTCAGTGTTGGGACCGTCCCTGTGGAACCTCGTTTATGACGGCGTCTTGGGTTTGAACATGCCGCGGGGTGTGTTGTCGGTCGCGTTTGCAGACGATTTGGCACTTGTCATCAGGAGCGAGTCGCAACGGGACTTGAAGACCCGCGCGGAGGCTGCATACACATCAGTCGAACAATGGATGCATAGTAAGAGTTTGAGTCTTGCCCCACATAAAACAGAGGTTTTGATGATTAGAGGCCCCAGACGAAAAAATGATACAACCTTTTCCCTGGGTGGAACCGAGGTACTCCCGAAGAGGGCAATTAAATACCTGGGCGTGTGGTTTGATGATCGAAGCACTTTTGGGCATCACGTCATCGAAACCGTAAGAAAAGCTGAGGGAAGGGTTCGCGCGCTCACCGGCATTATGCCTAATATCGGCGGTCCAAATTATAAGAAAAGAGCGATACTCAGCCAGGTAGTAAACTCTACACTTCTATATGCAGCACCCGCTTGGGCGGGGGTCTTGCGCTTTAAAAAATACAGGGACATGCTAATTAAATGCCAAAGAAAGATACTGCTCAGGGTTGCATCCGCTTATAGAACCACATCTGCGGACGCGCTACAGGTCATAACTGGAGTCCCCCCTATAGACCTTCTCGTAGAGGAAAGACTGAGACTTGACAGACGGCCGGATCGCAAAATGGCAGCCGCGAGAAGAGAGGAACGCGCGGCCACAATGCAACGTTGGCAGCAAGCATGGCTAGATAACGAAAGAGGGGTGGGGGTATGGACTCGCCGTCTCATAAGTAACGTGGCACGGTGGTCTGAATGCAGGCATAGGTCCCTTGGGTATTTCTTTACCCAAGCGCTGACGGGCCACGGTAGTTTTGGCTCTTACACATATAAAATCCGGAAAACAAGAAACTCACGATGCGCCTATTGCGACGAACAAGAGGACACTCCGGAACATACTTTGTTCGCCTGCCACCGTTGGAGCGAAGGTAGAGATCGAGTGGTGGAGGTCCTGGGGGTGCAGATTAGACCCGAAAACATCATTGATGTCATGACATCCTCAATGTATAGGTGGAGCATTCTGTATAGTTTTATTTCGGACACAATGAAATTAAAAGAGGCTGAGGAGAGAGCCAGACAGACGGAAGAAGGGGCATAATTACATACTGGCCAGCGCCCCGAGGTTATGCCTAGCGGCGGTTTCCGGAGCGTTTCTGGTGGGATTCTAAGGAGGGGTTTTTGTCGGAGTTGCGCCCGACACTACCGGGGACGATAGACCCTAAGGTCCCGGTGCCATGCGGTTTTCCCTCCTACAAAAAAAAAAGGTATCCTGGGGATATTCTTAGGACAGGTTTGCACTATTTGAGATATTACCTCAGTATAAAATCTGCGCCATTATAGAACGATAGTAGCCGTTAACAACTTTTTTACACACATACCCAAATCTACTCCTTTAGTCAGATATTTATAAAAGGGTCTTCGTTGAGTTATGCACAAGAGTTTCTACAACTTCATTATTTTAAATTCAGTGGTCCAAAAAGATTGTAATCATAAGGGCTAAAGTCGAGACTGTACACTGAATATTCTAATATTTTCCACTGAACCAAAGTGAGTGTAGCACTTGTCAGCTGTGGAATGTGGATGTGGGACTTAGCGATGTATTTTGAAAAAACACAGCGCACCTTATCGGAATATGAGGGCGTTTTGTCCGAGCCAAGGAGATAATAGTTTCAGTGCTTCCTTATTCCATCTTCTTCAGCCATATCAGGGTACTGTGACTATCAGCGAAAATGAATTGTTCAACCATTCACATTTTTTTTTCCGTATTATGTTTGGGGAACGGAGTTCATTTGGCTCGTTTTCTTCCTTCTTTGAAAGATTTGCACCACCGATATTTCTGAGACTGATGTTTCATTATCAAATTGTTGATGCAGTCAGTGAAAAATTTCAGCAGGTTTTAAGTTGTCACTTACTAAAAATTTTATTATAATTCTTTTCCCGATCGACGGATTTGTTAGTATCTCATTCATTGTTATATTGTCAAGCTACAACTGCTTTTATGGGGATCACTTACTAACTGACAAGTCAACCACTGAGCGCAACTGAATGTCTCAAATTAGTCTATTAGACTAATGGCATCATCGCATTCATATTATGTGAACTGCTCTGCTACTACAACATTTAAAAAATGTTTGTGATATATCTTTACCATTTAATATTTGAATGCAGTAAATCACCATTGCATAACATTGGGAACATAACTGTCGTTCTAGTCTAGAACATAATCTATACAAGGTGGTCCGAATTCTATGCAGAAAACTTCGAGGGCAGATCTCTTTAAAATAATATGTGTTGCCTTATAAACATTGGTCTGGAACAACCCCGTTTTAGAGATACAGGGTGTTGAAGTTGTTAAAAAAAATAATTTTTTGTTTATATCTCCGAAATCTATTACTCGATCTCAATAAATACAGTATAGATAATCTATAACAGCAGGCCTTACATTCCTTAAAATATGAGCTTTAAAGGTTCAACCAGTGGTGTACAACTGAACAGGGGTCACCACTTTTTTTTACAGAAAAACCTACGCCACTGAATTTTTTACAAGTCAATGTAACTGATTTATATTCCAGTGCACAAAATACGAAAAAAAGGTAACTTGAATTTTTTCCCTAGGGTACGCCATTCTCAAGTTATTCATACCAATACAATCCCCTTGTGGCAGACACTTCTAACCATAATATTACAAGAATAGGTATTTATGTTTATGCTTAAAAGTGAGTGCAATTTGTAAGCACATCAACAAAATTATTTACACTCCTTTCTACACCACCTGTGAGGTAGTGTTCCTGGCGTGTTTTAGTTTTCCCTAGGGGCCTAATACTCTTTACAAATAAGAACAATTTATATCAAAATAATAATAAAAATATATTTATCAAGCAACAGCAACTATACAAGAAACAAAATTAACGAATTAACGTTACGTATTTACAACAATTGTTCCAAATGCGAACCACTCACATCGATACATTTCTGACATCTTCTATTAATGAAATTAATTGAAGCTAATATCATGTGGTGGTTTTCTTTTAATTCATTACATCCGTCTTCTATTCGTTGCAGTAGTTGTGGTCTTGTATCTGTTGTAGTAGAATAAACTTTACCTTTCAGATAACCCCAAACATAGAAGTTCAGGGGGTTTAGATATGGCAATCTGGCTGGCCAAGACACTGGACCCTCTGCACCATTATAGTTAACATTGGCATTTGGTCTTTTACTTATCCATCGCCCCATATAATTTAGCCATTCTTATATTATTCTCCCAGAATACACAGGAGCACCATCCATTGTATCCAGCTATTTTGTGGTATATTTAATGAAACATCCTCTAATAAATCAAATAGATGGTTTTCTAGAAAGTTTAGAAATGACTGGGAATTTAAACGGGGTGGCAAGNCCTTGACCATTGACTTGGTATGAATAACTTGAGAACGGCGAATCTTAGGGAAAAAAATCAAGTTACCTTTTTTACGTATTTTGTGCATTAAAATGTAAATCCGTCACAATAACTTGTAAAAATGCAGTGCCGTAGGTTTTTTTTATAAAAAAGGAGATGACCCCTGCCCAGTTGTACACCACTGATTGTACCTTTAGAGCCGATATTTTAGGGAATGTAAGGCCTACTGTCATAGATTATCTGTACCAAATTCTATTGAGATCAGGTAATCGATTTCGGAGATATAATCAAAAAAATCTATTTTTTTTTAACAACTTCAACACCCTGTATCTCTAAAACGGGGCTGTTCCAGACCAATGTTTATAAGGCAAACTCATATTATTTTAAAGAGATCCGCCCTCGAAGTTTCCTGCATAAAATTCGGACCACCCTGTATAGGCTGTTTCAGAAAGACCTCCCGTAAATACAGGAGGTGATAGTACGACAAAAAAATAAGAATTTTTTGTCTTATGAACTATATGTCTATCTCTTATTATTTTCGAGGTACAGAGCGACAAATAAAAATTTTTTAAAGAGAATTTTTACGAACATTTCCAAACGCTGCGAAATATTTTTATGAAATTTGGTATACCGGGGTTCTTAAGGATGCCAAATACGCTGGTCTAATTATTTTTTGGATAGTTCATAGAGGGCGCTAGTTATGCTACATTCGTATTACATTTTAAGTTCAAATTTTTTTGAGGTTAGGTTTTTTACCATTCGGGATCCAACTTCTAATGTACAATTTTATTTTCTAAAAATAATNGATGCCAAATACGCTGGTCTAATTATTTTTTGGATAGTTCATAGAGGGCGCTAGTTATGCTACATTCGTATTACATTTTAAGTTCAAATTTTTTTGAGGTTAGGTTTTTTACCATTCGGGATCCAACTCCTAATGTACAATTTTATTTTCTAAAAATAATGTACTCTCGTTAGAACTTCCTAATGTGGAGGTTTTCCAGAAAAAAGACTTTTAATTGAACTCTTACAATTTTACGGTGTATAAAAGAAGTGACTTCTCTCAAAGTAGGCTTATGTCAAAACTTATTGATGGATGTCTCATAGACAACGCATACATTTTTAGTAATATTTTAAACTCTAATTAACTTTATATCAAAATTTTAGTGACTGTAATTAGTCATTGCTAACTACAGTCAGTAACAATTACTTCGACAGAAGGAAAATGAATTATAAAACAAAAACAAATATTAAAATATTAAGAATTTTGTTATACATTCTATCTAAGACATACTTGATGTACCTACATTTATTTTCTTACCTCTTTCTTAAAGCCAATTCTGTGTTCTTACTCAACGGTGCGGCCCCACAAGCAACTTCCTCAACACAAGATAGGTCATAATTTAATATTTTCGGACTTTTTTCTATAAAAATAGCTAAGGGGGGCACCAGAGGCAACATTGAAATTTCATAGTCTTGGATAGATTTTAAGAAGACATCCTCATCAAATTTTTTTAACACCACTAATTTGTGACCGTTAGTTATGGCATCGAGACCAACATTTAATCCATATGTATGAAAAAAAGGCATTAAGCCAAGAATGTTTTTTGACGAAAGGGAATATTTAGGATCTCTGAAACAAAGCGATATATAAATATATGGAAATCACTACATGGCTACAAGTATTTTAAATATTTTGTCATTTTCGTTTTTTCTTTGTTTTCAGTGAAAGTGTCTATATTTTTCTATTTTAGTAAATGTCTAACAAAGAAGTTATCAGATAAAAGAACTTCTAAAATGTTATTAAAACAATAATAAAAATCGAGTTTCAACAAAGTCTCAATTACTGTGAAAAATTGTCTGACCGATGAGTATTCAAAAACTAAATATCCACCTACTAATGGTACTATTCTTTAACATTTTGGACCTACTGTATATAATTGATTTAAAAGTATTATGTTTAATTTTTATATATACTTTTCTTTTAGGAAATGTAACAAATTCTATTAAAAAATATATTCAGATTTACCTAAAATGACGGAGAAAAGCAACTACATTTGTCCTCTGTAAATATTAAGATTATATTGTTCTCTTAAATAATGTGGCGTTTTTGATCAATGTAAATTTTCTGTAGGTACTGTAAGAAATAGTATTCAGGTTAAATAAAAAACATAAAATCTAGTTATACAATATTCAAAATAACAACGAATTTCCTAAAAAATTCTGCGCAACATTGCTAATTCGCATCTTTAAAAGTAACAAAGCTATCTGTCCAATTTATTTATCGAGCTACATCTAATTATAAACTATATCTGTTACGTCTATTCAGAAATAATTCAATTATGAATGGTTGCACAAATGCACAATAAAGGTGTCGACCTTGAGTCGTCTCATACAGGTTGTTACAAATTCGCTTCTCACTACAGGAATCTCGGAAATGGTAGGAGATATGAAGTAGTTTAAATGGGGGCAAAGTTGCGTAATCAGGGGACTAACTTTATGCCTCTATAAAATCAAAGCTAACCAGATTAGTTTTCGAAATATTTGAAAAATACCGAAATTTTGGAAACCCGTGTTTATTTAATTTCAACCTTGTTTGAGGTGATATTGAAAAAAGAAGAACACTTTCTCATAGCAACTTTTTGCCCTATATCGAATGGCTTAATCAATTTTTATATGTAACCTTTCGTCTCTCCAGGACCATCATCAACTTCATTTTTTTAAATACGACCCTGGAAATTTTATTACATTTTTTGCAAGAGCAAATCACCGAGTCTCAATATGTGCGCAAAATGTAGTTTTACCTAGTTTATAATTATTTTTACAAAATATTACATTAAAAGTGTACATCTATTAACTTTACATGATACATGTAAAAAAACCCTGAGAGATACAAAAGTATAAAATAGAGCTTGTTAAAATTATATTAAAAACGCAAAAAAACAGAAATAAATAGCAATACACACAAAAACTGCAATAGGATAGCAACTTTGCTTTTAAAAGAATTTAATGAGGGAGCATTAGCAACTTCAGTAGATACACTATCGCATGGATTGTCTAAATGTTGTGTAAAAATGTTTGTGAAACAGTCAAAAGTTTTGTCTACGTTGACGGGAACACATTATGGAAAGCTCTGCATGTTAAAATTAAGTCACTATGATTTAGTCTTTCACAATGTGAAAGTAAATTACAAATATGAATCCTGTTATCACAACTAGGTATACTTCTTCCATAGAGTAACCTAATAGCATGTGGTTAGATGGGATGAGTAAATTAAAAATAGTAGTGGACCCAGTACAGACCCCTGGGGAACACCACTCACAACGCCTAGAGTATAAAAATACGAATTACCAACTCTGACGCTAAACATTCTTCTTGACAAAAAGTTCCCTAAGTAATTTCCCACGAACGCCACAAGGAACAAAGGAACTTTGTCAAAAGCCTAGCTAAAGCCAAAATATAAACCATCAACTGGCCCAGAATTATCAAGTCCAATCTTGAGGCAATGAAGATTAGTTGTAGTATTGGTAGTAGATAAGTAATAGATAAATAGTTTTGCTAGATTTCTTCTGCATGTATGACGTAACGTATATTATTACATTTGAAATTTTGTAAAAAGTGGTTACGTATCGATGATAAAATAACTGAATAGTAAATTTTGTTAGTCCGAGAATATGACGATTTCATCATGTTCCCATTATTGACGACGTGTCATCTTTTTACCTTTTTGTTATGTTTCATACTAACGGTAATATAAATGCTTAGTCTGATGATGTACTATCAATATCATCTGCATAAAATTCTACAACCCAATAGATCAGCTCTATCAACAACAACCTATTCGCACTGAAAGCTTGTGAGTAGTCACAACCTACTTGACGCTTGTCGCAAGTCGATGTGAAACATAGTAAAACGCGGTGAAGCCGCTATAGGCTATATGAAAATCGGCCTTAAAACAAAGGAAACTGCAAACAGGAATGATGCCTCACGATTTGCACTTCGATATCTCCTCGTGGAAAAGACACATAAAACAAAGTACATTTTTTAATTAATTTTTTTTATTTTAATTTTTAAACATGCTCTGTTTCAATAAAACAATGTATCACGGATTAAATTGCTGTTTTATTTTTTGTTAACCTGTCTAATAAAAGTATGTATTTCAAATTTCAAACGGTTGCGTATATAATTTGAAATCTGATGATACATAATTAGGTAGGTTCATAAAACAATTTTAACTGATTATAAAAAAAATTGCGTTCATTTTTATTACCTCGAGCATTTAAAACGTTTACATAGTGGTCCAACGAAAAGTATGCACCGGGCGTTACGTCTTTTTGTGAAATTGGGAGCAAAAATGCTCGGACACGTCGATTTTGGCTTTGAGGGGGGCCCATTTTAAGCACATTTTCCATCCCGCCGCTTCATCCCCCTTGGGAATAATCACACTCCTAAAATTTCAAATGGAAAGTGGGTCGAGTGTCGAGTGATACATCATTTCAAAGAGCACACAATTTTCTTTCCAGTGATACCCTATTTGTGAGATCGAAATCAGTGGTACAAATCTAAACCCTATAGTTTTGGTATTCATCAAAAAAACACCTACGTGTTAGTTATTAGGAGTCAGTACATCCACAATCAATCATTTGTAAATTACCTTCACCAAAGATCAGGGACGAAAGGGGGAAGAATGTACACAAAATTGTTGAAGACAATCACAATTACGGTTATTACGCAATTATGCCTATTCAATGCATCATTCAAAGAAAATGTACATTCATCGGAAAAGCATATTTTAAATAGTACCTAAGTTCGGATCTTTAATTAAATGCTGGCCTCTTCACAAAATTGCAACCGTCTATCAGGATCATCTTAATTAAGTTTCTGTACTAATGTAACTTTGTTTGGGTGACATTTGTGTGCTTTTAAAATCCTTATTATGGACGCAGGAAAGACGCCCGAGGCTTCATTTCTGATTGATCGCTGCGGCTGGTGTTTCGCATTACGGAAAGATCCAGTATCGACAAACTTTTTAATTAATTTGGCAACATACGAATCGTTCACATTTTGATTGGGGTGAGCATTATTAAACAAAGTCTAGCACAACCGCACAACCATTATTTTGAAAATAGTGTTTGACAATTTTAACTCGTTCTGGAATGGAATGTCAATTTAAATCACTTCAAAAGCACGAAACAGACTCACTGGCGGTACCTTCTAATCCAAACAGAGCTACGTTCTCTTCCTCAGTATAGTAGGATCGTATTCGATGCAAAGTAGAGCAAAAAATTGTCGGCCTTTTATCAAAGGAAAATCGTGTCATCATTTTTAGGAGGCGTAAGATAAATCTTTTCAAATTTAAAATGAAATTCAATGTAAAATCTGAAATACCGCTGCATACGCACTGTGTTCTGGTAGTAGCTGTAGTCGCCCAGGTGCATCGAGTGTACGAACTGGTCGGTTATACGTCAAATACTAACCTGGCGAGCTTTGCTGTCAATTAGAGAGCGCTTCCAAAAAACGAGTAAACAACAGTGGCGCGTACAGAGGTAAAATGTAGTACTTATGTGGAATTTAGGAAACAAATTGGATTTATAATAAATTACATTTAAAATAAATAGTTTATGAGAATAAAGGAATTTTTGTAGCAACAAGGGTGCCAGACCTGAACTGATCCCCTCGTCCCTTCATAATGTATAAAGAAATTATTCAATTTGTAAAACCCTTAAAGGCGTACTTCATTGGTTCCCTTGACAGGCAATGATTTATTACTTTGCATCGAATATGATCGTACTATAGGTACTCGTATTTTATGTTAGTTTAAAAAAACGCAAAGGGTGAAAATATGCATTATTTTATATTAAAAAAGTCGGTTTAGTTTATCTGCTGGTTCTTGAACAGTGACAAATATGCGTAAAAAAACCTAACAGCGCACATTGTCTTGGAGCAGGTGGTTAATTGAGTCTTCATTGATAAAACGGCAATAATAGGCAATAGAGTTCAGCCAATTTTGTGTACATTCTTCCCCCTTTCGTCCCTCAGCAAAACTCACCGACCCAACTTTATTGCCATTTAAATCACAACGTTTTTGGTTAAGGTAATTTACAAATGATTTATTGTGGTTGTATTGGCTCCTCACAACTAATACGTAGGCGTTTCTTTCACGAATACCAAAACTATAGAGTTTAGGTTTCTACAGCCGTTTTCGTAACAATTGTTCAAGTAAAATTCAACAAATAGGGGGTATCATTGGAAAGAAAATGGTGTGCCCTTTGAAATGAGGTGGAGTGATACCACTCGTCCTCATTTTCCATTTGAAATTTTAGGGGTGTGATTGTCCCTAGCTAGGGAGATGAATAGGGCGGGTTGAAAAATGTTCTTAAAATGTGTCCCCCTCAAAATCAAAGTCTATATGTCCGAGCATTTTCTTTCGTTAGACCACTCTGTATAATTAATCGTGTGTAATATATTTTTCAATGTTTTTCTTCTGTTTTTTTTCTGTAGCAAACTAGTTAGTCTATAAAATATCCCTGGTCGTAAAGTAGGTAGGTACTGGTTCTGCATTTTCTTATGTTTCTATGTATTATAAGAGAAACTGCATCGTATATAGAATGATATTTATTATAAGTACTTGTTTAGTAGATATTACGTTCAATAATTTAGAATTAACAATTATTTGCACAGTTTCCGGAGTATTTTTAGTACGACGTGCACTCTCTTTTAATAATAGTTTTTTTCCTCACTGACACTGTAGCAACAATGACAATAATTTTCTAAATCAAATTATATAATATCTATAAAATATAGGCTAGGTAACCAACATAAATACAGGCATACACAAATATATATGTAAAACATTAGATTTAATCCATTGTTTGAGATTAAACATCGGATATTGTAGAATAAGGTAGCGTACACTATCGGATTTTCCACAAAGAAAATGATGAATTAAATCGATTTCATAAAAATAAGATTTTCATACAGACTTTATTCAAAATTTAAAAACGAACAAACAAAAATGGAAAATACCCTGTACCTCTTAATCTAGTCAAGATATCTAGACGAGGTTTTCTTTTGCTTTTTATTTTTTCGCAAAAAAGGCTTATTTTATCTACCTCCTCAAGGAATGCATGAAACACCTAAAGGTGTCAAAGTTTCGCCTACATAGTACATTTAATATTATATTAATATAGTCTTACCTTGATTGTAGTAACCTAGCCAATATACTCCTATGTGAGATTAACACGCCTTTAGGCAACCCAGTAGTACCAGAAGAACATAATACAAAAGCACCCAGTTTTGCTGCATCACCAGTTACAGGCTGAAATGTGTGGGGAAGTACGTTTGTCTCCCTCAAGGATCTTTTCACGAATAGCTCCAAACTTTCTGTTCCTAGAACTGATTCATTGGAATCAATTATAACTATGTCTTCCAAAAAACCCAACAACCTTTTTAAATGAAGAAATTTAAATGAAACGCTTTTGGAACAGAAAATTACTTTAGGTTTGCCAATATTTAAGATATGTTTCATCTCGTGCTCGGTGTAGTTATGATTGACAGGGAGCATTATGCAACCAACGAAAAGAGCTCCTAGAACAGGAATGTAAAATTCCAAATTATTTTCACTACATATTGACATAACCGTATCCGTTGTGTAGCCATAAGATCGCAGAGCTTCGGCTAATTCGCAGGATGACTGTAGTAGCGATTTATAAGAAACTGTCCTTCCAGTGAACACATCAATCTGAAATACATAGATAACGTAACATTTTAAAAAATATGTAAAGCCTCAAGAATACAGAGCCTTCATAAATGATTACAAGCCACGTGACCAGTAATTTTGTTTCGAACAGTAATTTTATTTCATTCATGTTGGCAATTAAATTTCGGTAAAATTAAAACAATAAGATTAAGTTTATCGACATTAAAACACCGGCTATTCACAGGCCAACAAGGAAAAAATTCCAGAGATCAGACACTACGTTTCCGAAGGCATTTAGCGCGCTGAATCCGAATCTGGCCTCAGAATTGATCCATCACCCTAGGTTTCCGAGATATTCTAACCTAAAAGTGCAAAAAACACGTATTTTTGCTATTTTCAAGGTTATGTAACTTGGCGAAAAAATTTTTTTTCTCAAAACTGAAAATATCATTGGAAACTACTATCTTTCCCCTTCAAAACGCATTTTTTTATTTGTAAAAAGCTTTATTTTTCGCGGAGATATCGTCGATTAAAGATGATCAGTATAGCTACCTTATTACCATGGCTCGAGCTATAACACAATATCACTAAGCGCTACGAGCCTTAGAGGGCTCGCAGCGCTTAGTGTTATTGGGTAATAGGGCTTGAAGTTAACCTTCCTGACGATTAGGGCTCACAGCGCTTAGTGTTGTGGGGTTATAGGGCTTGGGATTAACCTTCCAGACATATAGGGCTTGGGGTTAACCTTCCTGACGATTAGGGCTCGCAGCGCTTAGTGTTATTGGGTTATAGGGCTTGAAGTTAACCTTCCTGACGATGAGGGCTCGCTCCGCTTAGTGTTGTGGGGTTATAGGGCTTGGGGTTAACGTTCCTAACAATTAGGGCTAGCAGCGCTCAGTGTTATGGGGTTAGCCATGATGTAATAATATAGCCATACTGGTCATCTTAAATTGACGATATCTCCGCGAAAAATAGAACTTTTTCCAAATAAAAAAATGCGTTTTGAAGGGGAAAGATAGTCGTTTCCAATGATGTTTTCAGTTTTGAGAAAAAAAAAGTTACATAACCTTGAATATAGCAAAAGTACGTGTTTTTTACACTTTTAGGTTAGAATATCTCGGGAACCTAGAGTGATGGATCAATTTTGAGGCCAGATTCGGATTCAGCGCGCCAAATGCCTTCGGAAGCGTAGTGTCTAATTTTTTTTTATTGAAATTTTGTCGGCCTGTGATTATTGGTGTAATTTTTCACGAGATTCTATTCAACCAATCAGCGATCGCTTTATTTCGAGTGTAGACGTAACGGTTTGTCATTGTTCATTGTAAACGAATCATTGGTGACCCCAACATTTAGGAAATTTTCATTATTGGTATCAATCGTGCAATTGGTACCGGTAACGAAGACTCTGTATTTGTTTAAACATGTATATTTTAGTGTTATTTAATTTCCTGTAATTAACACTATTGAACTACATATGTTAAAAATATTTACATTTGTACACATTTTCTCTGTCATAAATAGTGGTTTTTATATTTGCACTCCTTAGTGCAGCTCTCTTGTTAATTTGTAATAATTATTTTAATAAAATTATTATTTATTTTGACATATTTGAAAGTGACTGTACTCTTTACTTTTATGGGCATATTTAAAGTTATTGCAATAAATTCCTCGGGACACAGTTTGACTTGAAATTGCATTACCTTTATTATATTATTATTATTGAATTCTCCAATAAACAATAACATCTCATTATAGTGACATACATAGTGGTATACATTATCAAGCTGCAGCACACTTACCATGGCATCATCGTTTGCTATAGCGTTTTTTAGTAATTTTGCAAATATCTCTTCTCCCACGGTATTATCCGACAAAGGCACTGCAGGTTTAGGGCCATGTACAACAAATGTGTTCTGTTCTAAAGACATTTCGTTTTAATAAGCAAGGGGCAACTACTGAAGATATGGAAGTACTGCCTTACACTATTTAAAATGCATCTACTACTTGTTTTATTTAATATTTACTAAATGCACTGGCGTACTTCCACTACTTTTTGATGTATCAAGATATAAATGATTAAACAGTACAGTCGCTTAAAGATATCTTGGTTTGGAAGCTAACGTATTGTTAGTGGATGAGCAATTTCTGGAACAGTGTTATATTGTAGGTTTAGGCTTCTTGACGTTTTGTAAGACATTTCGTCTACAAAAGCAATTTTAAAACTACCTTCGGTAGCTTCTTGCACAGGACACTATAAAAAAGAAATGAATAATGAAAATAGTCCGTAGAAACTCACGAATAACCCGCCACTTTCTATAGTAGAAAAGTAACCTCGGTACCTAATGGCAATAAACATATAATTTTTTTATAAAGGCATTTAAACAGTAATTATCATTAATGTAATACGTGGAACTAATTACAATTAATAATAATTATAACTTGAATTATGCGTTAAATAAATAAAACAAATGCTGAATTTCCATACTTTACCCGATGCATTCGAACAAGTACCGATTTGTTTTATTTATTCGGTCGTATTTAGCGAGTATTAGTACAGTAGAAACGCATTCAGCAGTAAAAGAATTTAACGTTGTTGTATTTTTTATGAAAGAAACGTGTGGAAGATTGTTAGGAAACATCAACGAAAACGTCCACAAGAGATGATTTTGTTAGAACCATACACAGCCAGAGAATTTTTCTCTAGAGCAATAGAGGAGCTAAAAGATTAATTGCATTCAATAGGAGAAAAATAATGTTTAATAATTTTCCGTTCTGTCTCTCTCTCGGCTTTACACTGGATCATACACAACATAACAATTAAGATTATTTATTAAGAAGAAGAGAATTTTATAGTCAAAATTTTAGCGTTTTAATGTTTAAGTACAGACCGAGATTGCAAGGCAGGCCAAGACACACATGCTCCAATGTTTTGAAACTATTAGAGATGTGTTGTCATTTCACTATCTGCTACTTTGGCGCAAAAAGTTGTCGGTCTTTTATCAAAGGAAAATCGTGTCATCATTTTTAGAAGGCGTAAGATGAACAATTTCAAATTTAAAATGAAATTGAATGTAAAATCTGAAATACCGCTGCATACGCATTGTGTTCTGGTAGTAGCTGTAGTCGCCCAGGTGCATCGAGTGTACGAACTGGTCGGTTATACGTCAAATACTAACCTGGCGAGCTTTGCCGTCAATTAGAGAGCGCTTCCAAAAAACAAGTAAACAACAGTGGCGCGTACAGAGGTAAAATGTAGTACATATGTGGAATTTAGGAAACAAATTGGATTTATAATAAATTACATTTAAAATAAATAGTTTATGAGAATAAAGGAATTTTTGTAG